TGTGATTTGCAGTCAAGTGCTTATCATGAGCAAAACTCACTGACCTTTATTATTAAGAAAACCACCTTGGACACATGATAATAGAAAAACAATCAAAGCATTATAAAATTATATCTTAGATATAATTTGCAAAAGGAATAAAAAAAAGCTGTAGGAAGTTCAGCTTTGCTAATTATTTCAAAATCACGAATTGGGTTTTGTGTTTTACTTGGATTTGTGTTCTAATTTTTTTCTTTAATTACTCATTACCATTTGGATTGGCATCTTAAAGATATTTAATTGATCTAGTAAATAAACTTTTTTAATATAAGATTTTTTTTTTTTCTCATGCATTTTATGGTCCGGGTGTCTTCATTCTGCCAGTTCTTTCAGTAAAAGCAAACCTCCCCTACACTTTTCTTCAATCTCATGTCTGTTTTGAAACAATCAGACTACATGCAGCTCTGACATACTTGCTCAGACCAAGTCTTGACCTGTTCTATTTTAAATAATTCAGGTGCCACAGTTCCTTGAAACCAACTCTTCTGGAATGAGGCGAGATCAGCTCAGAACACGTCCCCCTGCATTCTTCTATTATCAGTTATGTTTTAAGAAAACCTGACTCAAACCAGTTTCACAATATTCCTCATTTAAAATGAGCTAATGGAAAGTGCAATCAAAACTGCATTCGATCCTAAGATTCAGCTAATTAGAAGGCAGATACTGTCTTAAAGGTATTTTTGTTAAATCTAAATAAATGTTTTTTTTCTTCAACAGTATGATTCGTCCAGCCTTCCAGCTTTGTTATTAAAGTCAAGAGGCATTTTGGGAGCTGAAAATCATCTGCGAAATATCAACCATCAATTAGAGAAGCTTCTTAGCCAGGAATGAGAAGACAGTCTAGTCTATTAAGCTGTCCTAATACAAAGACTAGTCACATGCTACTGTCTGTTAGCCTTCTGATCAGCCTTTTTCATTTATTAATAAAAATTAAAAGGGGTTGTACATTATTTCAACTTTCTCAAGAAGACTGGGGGGAAAACCTAAACTTTATTAATGTTAATTTGAGTCAAACATTTCTTTTTATCATTATAACACTGTTAAGATACATGAAAAATAAGTTTATAATTGTTCAGGTAGAAGTGTGGCCTGGTCCCTAGAACTTAGTATTATTTTATCATCAAATCATATGACTGTGACAATGTTAAGTGGCATCAGCTTGATTGTATAAGTTCTGAAATGTTGATTCTTTATTTTTAATCATCTCCAGATATGGGTTTTAAGCTACAAATGAACTTGAAAAATCAAATAGATGGGAACATAAACTAATTTTGGTTAGTCAATAGAGATGTCTACTTAAGTGTACATCAAAGCTAGTTTTCAATAAAATACTTGACTAGCAAAGTGATAAAACTTAGTGTATATAAATAAGTTTAAGTTAAAATAATTAAAGCCGGATACTCAAAGTACCCACAGTTCATTAGCTACTCTTGTAATGCTTCTAAAATTAGTTCATCTGGAATTTCATCCACTCCACTATTGTAACTGAGGAGGCTTGTCTCTGTCGCTTCAACCAATTCAGCATCTTCAGTAGCTTCTAAAAAATAAGCATCATCAATGCCATTATCCCAGTCATCACTGGAAGTGGAACGTACACCTTTTGACAACTTATTGGATGATGATCTGTGAGGCTTCTTGGCCTCATTGTCCTCTGTTTCTACTGTTTCATCTGTTGTGAGTTCTTCTTCCTTTGTATCCACAGGGGAGTGTAAGCGATAGCGGCAAACGAGAAAAATAAGTTAATTTAGTCATGATGTATGATTTCACCACATACTCCAGTCTACATTAACTTAAGGTATTTAGTAACAAAGGCAGTTCTTTGACAAATGTTAAATTCACTGGATGAATACTATCTCCAATGTACTGACCACGGAACAAGTTGACTAATTAAAGCGCTGACACTTTAACATTTGACAAATGTTAAACACATTGGATGAATACTATCTCCAATATACTGACCACGGAACAAGTTGACTAATTAAAGCGCTGACACTACAGCTCAGACAGTTGGGAAACCCCAGATCTGGAGCTGTCTGCAATGTCTGCAGCACATACTTTTCAGTATCCTCATATGAGGTACGGCAAGGGTAGAACGTTTTTATTTTACTTTTTAAAATGGATAGTCCAGCTGAAGACAACTTGGAAAATGTTCACAAAGATTTATTCCCTTAAAAATTAGGGCATTTGAAAGAACTGCTGTAAACAAAAAGCAGTTTGGGGAACAGTTGTCAAAATATGACAGGATTATAATAAGTTACCATTGAATGGATTCCAGTACATAAATGGTGAGCCCAAGTGTCAAAGTAGAACTATGCTCCCTAGTTTTCAAGGGTTGATATTTCTAAAGTAAATTGCCAGTTCTTTCTTCCATGGTACTCAGAATGGACTTCAACTTCCAACTTCTCACCTAGGGACTTTCGGCTATTGAAGAGATAATATACTTATCCTATAGTACCACACCAAGCAATATACAGAGTCTTGGTGTGGTACTACAGGATAAGCATTGGACTGCTAGCCATAAAGTCGTTGGTACAAACCCACCAGCTGCTGCTTGGAAACCCTACCCAGAGAAGTGGTGACGCCAGAAATAGAGGCAGAGAAGATGATGTGGGCAGATGGAGCGGCTGGGGACACTGAACTCAGGGAGGGAGGGAGAGGGGCTGTGTGCTGATGGCCATGGGGCAGGCCTGTGGGGTGTACCCATTAGTTGTTTGATGATGCATGGAAGGGACTGTAATCATTGCAATGAAGTGAAATATGATGAATGTAAAACTGATGTTCTCCCATGTAAACCCACATAATTCACAAAAACTTTGAAAAAAAAAAGTTTGTATGTGCAGTAGAGAGAAAAAAGGGCCAAAGTTAACCACCGAGCAAATCTAGGTAAAGGACATACAGGAAGTCCTTGTTCCCTTGTAACAGTTCTGTAGATCTGAATTTTTTAATTCAGAATTTTGATAGCAACTTTAAATAAGATAACATAATCAGAATACCAGCAAATAAGGCTACTTGGTAATTTACTTTGGTGATAGTTATGTGCCATGGCTCTGACTCATAGCGACCTTGTGTAGGGTTGGCTGAAGCTATAAATCTTTATAGAAACAGAAAGCCTTATCTTTCTACCATGGAACCACTGGTACTTTTGAATTGCTGACCTTGAGATTAGCAGCTCGGTTTGTAACCACTATGCTACCAGAGTGCCTTTCAATTTGATATTTATGCGGTATTCCTAGATAGGCAGAAAATTTTAAGTCCATTGAAACCACGTTCCTCCAAAGGAACAAGGATAACAGTCCTCCTCAGCCAGTAAAAGTTTATTTTAAAAAGTTTTGTCTTTAATTTGTTCTTGGTTATTTAAAGACATGCTTTACCTTGTAGTTAGTTTACCAGAGAATCTAGCTTATTTATATTATAGTCAGCTCCTACAGATCAAGAGTGAGGTTTTCACCATTTATAGCTTAGATATTTAAGAGTTTGTTCAGGAAACTTTTAATTTGATTGAATACTTCCAGACCACTATTTTAAGTGCCATCAATCAGTTCCAATTTATACCAACCCTATAAAGGGTTTCCAAGGAGCAGCTGGTGGGTTTGAACCACTGACCTTGCTGTTAGCAATCTAATGCTTATACTACAGTGCCACACCAGGATTCCTAAATATAGAATGTAAACTCAAGCACTTGTTCAGCTCGTAGTAAGTAACTTTTATTCTGAAAATAACACTAAACGAAACAGCTGATAGAAACGACCCAAAACAAAAAACCACTGTAAAATTAAGTCAGACTGGAAAACAAAAACAGCACTTAGAAAAAGTTGTTTAAAAATATTTACAGGACCTCAGGAAGATGGACAGAGGGCAGGTACAGGAAATTAATAAAAGAAATAAAATCATAAATCTGGAAAAAGTGCAAATTCATTATTTTTTGCCCATCAGGTTGGTAAAGATTAAAAGGTAATAAAAGCAATGGTGATGAAAGTATGAGGTAACAGGTACTCTTCTGAACTACTTGTGGATATTGTATTTCCTGTAATTTCTACATCATTTTATTAGCGTGAATTGGCAGTGTTGTATTACTACACATATTTGTGATATATCACAATATATAAATATGTGTACTCTGATTTAAAGAAATATGAGTATACATAGAAAACCTGGAAGGATATATGACAGTTTATATAATCTATAGAAGTCAATTAAGAGTTAAGATCATTTTTTTCCTTATGTATTTTATCATTTTTTGGTACTTAATTTGTGTAAATGTTGGTTTGGCAATTTGGAAGCAGCCCTGGTAGCACAGTGGTTAAGTACTCGACAGGTAACAGAAAGGTCGATGGTTGGAACCTACCAGCCACTCCTCAGGAGGAAGATGTGGCATTCTGCTTCCATAAAGATCACAACCTTGGAAACGCTATGTGGTAGCTTTACCTTGTCCTATAGGGTCACCAACTCGACAGCACTTAACAATGACAAACAACATAGGGTCACTGGTGTGGTGCTGTGCAGGATAAGCACTTGACTGCAAGGCCAGTTTGAACCACAAGGCCAGCAGTTCAAACTCACCAGCCACTCCTTGGAAACCTTAGACAAGGTCATTATGGGTCAGAACCGACCTGACGGCACTTTAACAATAGGATTGCTGAGTTGAATCTGACGGCAACAGGTTTTTGGTTGGCAATTTTGTAATACCGACTTAACAGTGCCCAACACCAACATGAAAATTAAAGATGCATTACCTTTTAACACAATTCTACTTCTAGAAATTCATCCTATAGGTAGAAATGCTCAAAGGAACAGATAAAAGGATTTGTATTTTTGGCATAGTTTAAAAGAAGAGAAATTTCTCATGACTATGATTAGATAAATTGCTATTTATACAATGTGACTAAGAATTAGAAAGACTGAGGTGCATATTCTCAGGTTATATGCTGACGTGGGACAATCAGTACATTATATTTCTAAGTGAAAACAAGGTACCAGTGTTGAAAAGCTACTCGGATACATTTGGATGCTCAGCTGATTGACACAGTTGTACCAACAATTGAACACTAATGAAAAACACTAAAAAGCTGCACTTACGTCTTTGAAAAGCAACTGGAGACACACATCAGGAGGTAATGGGAAACCTGAACCAGAAAGATAGTAAAACTACTTTAGACAGCTATCTAATTGTTACTTTGTGGTAAATACTCTTAAAACTAAGAACTCACAGTTGGATTTAAAGTTTTCTGCTTTACATACAGGGTCATGACATTTCTGATACCATACTTCATTCTTCAGGTCAACCAGAATCCTTTAAATTTAAAAAAAAGTTGCTTTTTTAAAAAAAATTCAATTATATGTTCTTTACTAAAGATAAGCCTAAAAAAGAGAAATTAAGAATGGAAATAGATATACAGCAAGTTAACATATTACACAAAATTGACCTTCAGGCAAAAAACATATACGACTGATAAAAGTTCCCCCAAGAATATATGAAAAGACTCAGTTTTCATCTACCAAATAATGTATCTTGGAAGTATATAAAAGCGAAAATGGACAAAACTACAAGTATAAATAAGTTTACCATAAGTCAAGATTTAGAAGTAAACAAGTTTGCTATAATAGTCTGTTTCCAATAAGTAGAAGCAGCTCTTCACAATCATACCCGATTATAAAAATTGACTCCATACTAGAAATCTCATCAAATTTCTAAGTGTAAGTTCACTCAGTACATTTTCTGAACACCAAGAAAATTATTGAGAAAATAATAAAAAGACAGCTAATAGAATCCATGGTTTGGAGATTAAAAACATTTCTAAATAACCAATGTCTCAAGGGAAAAATCAGAAAATCATAATGGAAATCAGAAAATGCATAGGGATGAATGGAGAGGAAAATATTAACATGAACTGTGGCTAAAAGTGATCTTTGCAGGGAAATGTATACTCCTCAAAGCTTAAGAGGGCAGCTAAAGATAAATGAGTTAACTAAATTGAAAAATGAACAATACTAACAAGTAAGTAATAACAACTCAGGCTAAAACTTAAAATTCTTGCAAAATTGTTAAAAAATAAATGCAACTTTATTACCAGAAATTCAATGCAGATGTAAACAAAAATGTAACATATGCTAAAAAGACAGAAATATTATAAACAATTTCTGCCAGTAATTTGAAAACTTTAGTAAAATAGATAAATTACTAAGAAAAAAACTAATAAGACTTAAAAAGCAAGAGAAAAGCTAAACAATACTATGCTGTTATTGTTATGTTATGAAGTGCCATCAAGTCAGTTTTGACTCATAGCAAACCTGTATATAGTTTCCAAAGAGTGGCTGGTGAGTGTGAACCACCAACCTTGTGGTTAGCAGTCCAGTGTTGATCCTACAATTGTTAACTGCTGTCAAGTCAGTTCTGACCCATAGCGACCCTGTTAAGGGTGAGCTTGAACCGCTGAACCTGCAGTTCAAACTGATTTTGCAGTCCAGCGCATTAACCCACAGCGCCACACCATGATCCTATAATTGAGTGCCTTCGAGTCGATTCCGACCCATAGTGACCTTGTATAGGGTTGTTGTTAAATATCGTGGAGTCAGTTCCGATGCATAGTGACCCTACACAGGGTTTCCAAGGTTGCAAATCTACGGGAGCAGAAAGCCTCATCTTTCTCCCATGTAATATTAGCTGGTAGTTTGGAACTGCCGACCTTGAGGTTAGCAGCCCGATTCGTAACCACTACGTTATTGGCACCAAATCAATTTTGACAGCTAGAACTGCCTTAGGGTTTAATTGGCTGTAAATGTTACGGGGGTGGGGGGTGGGGGACAGGCCTTTCTCCTGCAGAACAGCTGGCTGGGTTCACAGGCCAGCCTTTTTAGTTAATGGCCTAGTGCTTAAACATTGTGGACCAGAGCTTTTCAGACAATCCCGTGGCCACTAAAAATTAAAGCTTTTGGTTAAGTAGCTTAGAATTTTCCACATTTCACAGAAAAAGTAAACAAAATGGCCAATATTCTGTATGGTGGGAGGACATGTGCCCAGAAGAGAAAAAGGTTGTTGTTATGTGCCGTGGAGTTGGTTCTGACTCATCACGACCCTGCATAGGGTTTCTGAGACTGTAAATCTTTACC